ATTAACAAATGTCATTAATAAATTAAGCTTTTTTTATAAAGTGATAATTTTTCGTGAAAAATACAGTCTAAAAATACTTAAAAAAAGAACATAAATAACTTCATGATGCTCTATAAACTGCATGATAACTGCTCTATAAAATTGCTTAGTTAATGATCAAATTATTTTCTTTCACATTTGTTAATCTGATATTGTTTTAACGAAAATTACATATTGTTTTGTTTCTGTTTATTCTTAAAATGTCGTTAATATTTTCATGTATAGCGTACAATCAATTTTTTGGATGACGATTTGTTAGTTATAACGAAAGTCAGTTACATAATATGTCACTATGCGATTTGAAAAACGCATGTATGCGATGTTATCGTCATGCGATGATTTGTATGTACTTTATTTTTTACCATGATATTTTCGACGACGATGCTTTGCAAAGTTTTTGAACCGTTTTGCGATGTTTTCTCCTTGCATTGTTTTCTCCGCGACGTTTTCGTCCGCGATGTTTTCGGCTGTAACCGACTTTATGACATGATTATATTTTCCAGTGACGGAAGCATGACTGAAAGTAACGTCATGAACTGTGAACTATAAGACATTTAGACTATTTAGTTTGAAGATATTTTTAGAGCTAAAATGCTAAACTTTTGTATTTTTCTTCTAACGTTATGTAATATGTTTAATGATTTAGCAAGGTTTGCTGAAATATTATGTTTAATTTTAATGATTGATTTGTATTGATTTCGTTTATATGTTTATGTTGATGTGAAAAGATTTAGGTTTAAAGTTAAAGATTTAAGTTTGAAAAATTAACTGAATGTTACGTCTTGAAAATGATCAAAAGGTTGCAATCGGCAGCACCAAACGTATAGAAGTATATTTATATATATATATCCACTCTGTTACCCGGCTCAGTGATGTCAGTTTCTTTACTCTTATATGTTTGTAAACTGTACATTTTTTGCTTTGAGAATGATTGAATTATGTTGTTTTTATCTTCCGGATAAGGTTTTTATGTCTTTAGTAAATCTGTATGCAATATATTTAGAATTATCAACAATTTTAAAGTTGTTTAAGTGCCGCTAAGCTTTTTTTTTTTTTTTTTTTTTTTTTTTTTTTTTTGGGATGGCGGCCATTGATTGTTTACATTTGAAACAGCAGACTAGTGGATTTGTTGCCAATCTAGAGAAACTTAGCTTCGCAACAACAAAGATAACGCCTTCATTTATTATTGCCAATTAAATCATGCTTAATCCTTTCTTGAATGTTTTCGAGGAAATAAGTGTTTAAGATTTACTTCGTAGTTTTTAATATAGGTATTTTGAGTTTTTATGTATTTTTGCCTTCTCGCGAAGTGAGAACTGAATTAATTGAATGAGAAATGCTCAATCGTCTGTGAAAAACTGTTTCGTTTTTGCTTTGTTTGCTTAATTTTTTTTTATACATCATTCTAGCTTTATTATAGTATTTGAATAGAACATGTGGCAACGATTAGATAATTCTATTATTTAAATGATATAAATTTTGTGCATTATATGAGTTGTAATATGAACGAAATATAATACTGTTAAGTGAATCTAGCGCCAGAGTGTCGCTATGGTAACAAATACTAGAGTGAATTTTAAAGAATGCCTTTATTCCATTGTGGTTTATGCGCTGTCGGCGAAGTATACTTAATTCAATCCAATAAGTTTAAATGAAATGCAAGAAAAAATGCGTATAATTTAATATTCCGTACAAGGAAGTCATGTGGTGTACACATCAGATTTTTTATATTTTAATCTGATTAATTTAAATAAAAATCCACTTAATTCATGACTTATGTACTTAAAAACATTATATATGTTTATAGAATTAAATAAAATATTTTTTCTCTTTTTAAACATACAGAATGTGTATAACATTCTCATGTTAGCCAAAATGCACATTCGTTTAATATGCTATAAAATGCTTCACTCTTGATAAAATGCTTCGCTCTTCCTACGTGGACAGTCTCTATCGATAATCTTTACTGATAAATCGTACTAAACTTTAAAATAGCCCTCTTGGGCGATCTTTAAAATCTAAACACTTTCAGATTTTATTTTTTCTTTAATTTGTTTTTTAAATTTTAGCGCTAGAGGTGCTATTAGTCTCGAAACCCATTTTTTGTCCGAATCACGGTTTTTCTGTTTATTTTGATTTCTCATGCCAATAAAATTTATGTCTTACTTCACTTTTAATAAAAGAGAAAAAATACTCTAATTTTATTACACAAAAAGAGAAAAAATATGATCTTTACTTAATTTTAGTACAGATGATACAAATGGAATTTAAAATGTCAAGGGTAAGAAAAAATTAAAGGCTCATAAAATATCAGCATGCTTGATTTCTAAATTACTCCTTAAATGCATGTAGTTACCATTTGGCAACATATTCCTATTTAGTCATTTAAATCAAATCAAAACACAAATATTAACTTACTGCATAGTGTAATCAATTGGATACATATTGTTTACGTATATAGTTTTGAAACTTTCAATGTGGTGTAACGGCCATTATTGTGTGAGTTGATTTGTAGAGCGTGGTCATCATTTGTGTTCACGAATTTTTGATGTGCTTGCTGTTGTTTTAATATATTCAAAGTTTCTAATTTGTTTGAATAAGATTGTAACGTACGTTTTATTACATAAAACTGTTATTATATATTTGCCTATCATATCCTTTTTGAATAATGTAGCCATTTGGCAACAATAATATTTTTTTAAAAAATTGGAATAAAAACTTAGGTTAGATTTCTTTTAACATTTTTTCTATTTTACTTTACATCATTTTGTATTTTTGACATAAATAAAAAAAAATAAAACATTTACAGGATTAAAAGCTGTTTGTAATCGAATACGATGCTGCATACAAATGTATCTACCTAAAGGCTGGTTTGGATGGCTTGGTTTACGTGATTACAGCAAAGAATGCAGGGGATATCTGCCTAAGGAGAGGTATGGCTTCGTGGAGGTCTTTGTGAGGAAAACTAGCTTGTATACACGTTACACACAGGAAAAACCACGAAAGTGCCCATGCAGCCAGCCTGTTCACCTGGAAGAGAACGCATGTGGGAACTACTAGTGTTCAGCGTTTTTACCGCTCGGCCGCTGGTGGGCGCTGTACATAAAGGAAGGGATGCTGTTATGGAGGACTTCAGAACAGAAATTAGTCCGCCGTTGCCCAAATATAAAGAATAAATAGTATTGTTAAGAGTATTTATTTTTTTTTTATGATTTTTTAATAAGAAGAAACTGCAGAGTTAAGAAAACTGCATTGTACAAAGGTATATTTTTACCTTTTCTCTGCTCAGTTACTGAAATCAAAATATTAGGTATCCATTGAATAAATCAAATAAAAATTCCATTTAAAACTATTTCCGGTACTATTCCGTTTTGAGGACCGTAAAAAAATTGCAGCGAAAATGTGTGCGCAAAAGCGCCAAATCTAGATAACGCGCCCATTTAACAGCGCGCCAAATCTAGCGTACGCGCTGATTTCAGATTGCGTAAGTTTATATAGTTCTATATTTCTTAAGACGCCATTGAAACAATAGTTTAATTTTTAAATCCTTTTTTGATTTTAAATCCTTTTTGGATATTCTATAGATTTAACAATTTGGGAATTGCCCATGACGAAAAGTCTGCAATAAAATTTTGGGTGAAGTGCAGAATCCCACACTACTTGACGCGTTTTTAAGAACTGCACATATTCGGTATCCATGTACACATCGACCTAGTTTCACTTAGAAAAAATCCCAGAAATGCACAAAAATGGCACTGCGCACACCCTTGACTTTATCTATGTACACATCGACCTATTTTCACTTCAAAAATAAAAGAAAATTGACAAAAATCCAATTGTTTTTACCCTTGTAAAAAGCGGCAAACAAATAAGTGGGCGATTCTGCACTTTAAACCGAGAATTTTTTCAACGAAAAGACATCATTCATTATAGAAAATTATTTTTGAACAACCAACGAGATGAAATTATGCTTTAGCGATGCGATAACGCGGTAGCGAATAGCGATGCAGGCATCCATTCAGTTATGTTTAGCAATTTTTCTATAAATTATAATAATGATCTGAAATAGTTATTTACTCTTATGCTTCCATTCAGTCATGTTTAGCCTTTTTATATAAATTATTATAATAAAAAAGTATTACATGAAATTAACCTTTCATCTAAATTAAAACATCAATCTTAGCTATCTACTATTATACTTCCTTTCTTGCGTTAGGATTGCTGCAATTATTTTTGGCAGCACTGGCATCAACAATAGTTTGGCGATTTTTTACGGCCCTCAAAAACGAATAGTACCCTATTTCCTCAAGTGGATGATATTCTCATGGAAGCAAGTTCAGATATCCTGGTTATACGTATTTCCATCAGTTATAACATGCCAGTTTCAGAGATAGTTACAAAATTCAGCCCTAAAATTGTTTAAGTACACTGCATATCTTTACTTATAAAATTATAAAAAAAAAATTATTATCTCTAAAGTGAAATCTTATCATCAGAGCCCTGGCTGTTAGAAACTGTAGCGTTGACTGGTTTCCTGTATACCTCTGCTATGGTTAAATTAATTATACATCTTTCTCTTAGTTTGCTGATATGCATAAAAAAAAAAAAAAACACAAGTCCGTTACATTTGCCATGTAACACTGACATACGCTTACCCAAGAAAATCTGAAATACGGATATTGAGTTATATTCCATACGCAATATCAAGTGCATCTCAAGTAATGTTAAGAAATACCTGTTATATTTGGGTCATTGTTATGGTAAACAAATCTAATATAAAACATAAGAACAATTTAGAAATTAATTGGGGTTCAAATTAAAAGTAATACCAACAATTAAAAATGTATGTTTCACTTTTTAAAAATTAATTAGCATCGTGTTTGCGATTGCGGGTTGAAGTGTTTTATATTAGGGTTAAACTGTGATTAGATTACAAATAAAATGTACAGAAAATCACAAGATTGGAGTTTCAAAATTTTATTTAGAGCAAAGTATGTTTTCAACAGTTGCAAAAACATTAAACTGTGACATTAATAAATCCAAAAACCTTTGCTGAATTTTGAATTTTTTCAGTTGATTAGTCTACCAAACTTCGCACTTGGTTTTTCGATTCATCGGCACGCCTGGTAAGCAGTGGAAATCTCTGGCAAACTCTGGTAAATTAGACATTGGTCCATTCGTTCTAGAAAAGAAGACGCATTTTAAATCCTTTTATACAAAATGTGACTTCAAATCATGAACAATGTACTATTTATTTTTGGTACTTTTCCATTTTGCATCTGCCATGTTTTTTGAGGTATCTCAAAGAGAATCTAAACACACCCCGAGACCCAACAATACTACCATTTGGGACTATTTGTGCATGTGTGTATATCTGAACAAGAATAATTAAACACACACCTACACTGCGAAAAAAAACGGGAGAGTTCTATATCTCCCGTTCTACTGGGCCGATTGAAAAAATTCAAACTGAGTTTTTCATGTCTCGAAAGCGCGACTAAGAAAATAAATATTAGATTTATATATAGCATTGTTCTAACATAGGTATTTTGACACAAAATCGGACTTTTTCTGAAATAACATGCCAATTATTTTCCATATTTCGATTCTACGACTCAAATTATGCCTAACTATTAAATTTTGTAAAATTTGGTGCGAAATTTACGAAGAAATTCAAACATTTAACTTGGCGCAAAACTTTCAGTTTGCTCCAAGAATAATTCACTTAACGGACTTCTTAATGTATGGCAATCAATTTTCCTTCCCTTCCATTATGCCGGAGCGGGAAAAAAAAAACCTTGTTCTACCTTTTTACATTGTGCATAAGCGGAAAAAAAGGCCCATCGTTCTTACTTTCAAATAATTTTAGCAAAGTGTCTAAACCACGTGTGATATTTTATCGCTTTCAACAAATATGCCGAATTTCAAAACGCGCCGATGTATAAAGTCACGTATACCTTCGGAAACTTTGAATGAAAAACTCTAATTTTTTGCAGGTATGCAAATACATCTACTATAAAATGATGGTAAAAGCTTTATAGATTATAATTCAAAACGTTTCTGAAAAATTTATAAAAATTATTTAAAAATAAATCATAAAAATTTGGAATTTTATTTATAATGAACCTGAATTTCGAAATGTGAAAGGAAGAATCAAATAAGCTCAATTAAAAAAGAGAGATTATTAAATATATACCAAACTCAATTAACATTGAGGAGCTAAAGTCTTGAGAGCAGATTTTTTTAAAAACTACTAGTTTGATTTTACAAAACTTCATAGTTTGGCGCAATTTGAGTCGTAAAATTGAAATATGGAAAAAAATTGGTATGCTATTTCAGAAAAAGTTCGATTTTGTGTCAAAATACCTATCTTAGAACACTGCTATATATAAATCTAATACATATCCTAAGTCGCGCTTTCGAGACATGAAAAACGCAAGTTGAATTTCGCGAATCGGCCCACTTAGAAGGAAGATATAGAACTGCCCCCCCTTTTTTTGCGGAGTGTATATATTAAAAATAATGCTGCCTTAATACGTGGCTTATTTAAGTTTTTTGGTAAACTAATCATCGGATGAAAGAAGCTATTTATTTGTTACTATGATGCAAAACTGTAATATAATCAGGGGCTAGCAACCCTTTTAATCAACGGGCCAATTTAAATTAAAAAATTTTTTGGCGGGCCGCACATAAAGTAACATTTATTAATAATTTACAAAACTTTATTTATAATAAACATTAAAATAAAAAAATATAAATTTAAAAAAAAGTAAAGATTTCATATACAAATTTTAATGCAAAATAAAAACAAACAAGAAAAGAACAGAAAAACGAATTTACTTGAAATCTTTAATGAGAAATTTGGCACTGTTTTTTCGATACAAGCTGATCAATATCAGCCGGAATTGATGAAGTAGCTGCACATAGGCAGCTTTCTAATCGTGCATCACTCAGTCTTGATCGGTGGTAATTTTTGATTAATTTCATGGTTGAAAATAATTGTTCGCAAACATACGTACTTCCGAACAGAGACATCATTTGCTTTGCATTTTTCGTCAAAAGCGGAAATTTCGCAGGGCTCACATAATATTTATAAAAAGTTTCGATGTTTACTGAGCAAAATACAGCCAAAGATATTTTATTTCCTACCCAAAAACAATAACATATATTACTCATTTGAGGTAATATGCACCATTTAAGAATATTCAAATTTTGCTTACCTAAACCTTTTCGTAGCATGTTTCCTAGATATAAAAGTATAGTTGAGATAATGTTCATTTATGCTTTCACACCATATCTGAAAAAGGGAAATGCTCTATTTGAAGCAACTTTATCTCATACTACATATTTAATGCAAGCTATTTACAGATGCTACAGTCGTTGAATGAACGAATGTCCAGTTTCGGGTGTAAATATGCCCAGTGTAACATGTGAAAAATTTTCGAATGGAAACAATGATGACAGCAATTCCAATTAAGAGTTCAGGAGCAGAGCAAACGTTGATAGGAGCGACAACATGACTGGTGCAACACTATGAATTTTTAAGACTAGCAATTGTTGGGGGAAAAAGTAGTTGTTTCTTTTCAGATAATTATACCAAAAAAAAAAAAAAAAAAAAAAAAAAAAAAAAAAAAAAAAAGGTAGCCAACAATAAAGGAAAGTGTAAATAATTTAAAATTAAAAAAGGTTTAATAGTAATGCATGTAACTAGTTTTTAGGATGATAGGCTCGTTGATTTATTAACTTTGAAGAGGGGATAAGGTTGACATTAATTCTAAATTTAGCTGGAATAGAGCAACTTGCACTTGCACTCTATTTATAGAAAACGTGCAACTACACTAAGGATGTCCGCCGATTACATCGCGGCAAAAACATCGCGGGAGAAAACGTTGCGGAGAAAACAACGCAAAGCGGAAACGTTGTGCTACAAAACATCGTAGGAGAAAACATCGCGAAGAGAAAACATCAGAGTTCTAGAGCATCGTGGTACAAAATATCGTCGTCGAAAATAAAGCGGTTCAAAAACTTCGCAGTTTAAAAACATCGTCGTCGAAAATATCGTGGTAAAAAATAAAGTATCTACAAATCATCGCATGACGATAACATCGCAGACATGCTTTTTTCAGGCTTTAATAATTGTAAATGGATATTCCCATAATGTTTTGGAGCGCAAGATGGAAAGAAGGATAATATTTACGTTCATAATTTTTATTAACTAATACATTTTTGCTGATAAAGTAAGAAGGAAACTTAAGCATAGAAAATTAATGCAACTTATAGCACTTAATAGAATTTTAAACTGAACATAAGTTAACTAACAAAGGTCATTAATAAATTAATTTTTATAAAGTTTTTACTGGTAATTTTTCATGAAAAGTATTATCTAAAAAAGATTAGAAAAAGGAAGGTAAGTAACTGCATAACCTTATTATTAAAAAAATTGCTAAGTTAATTTTGAGATTATTTTCTTCACTTTTTGATAATCTAATACACTTATAGAGAAAATTATTTCTTGTTTTGTTTCAGTTTATTCTTAAAATGACATTAAAATTTTCATGCACAGCGTGCAGTCAGTTACTTGAATGTCGATTTTTAGTTATGAAGAAAGTCAGCTATATAATATTTCAGTAGGATTTGGATTTATTAGATTATGCCAAAGCACACTACGGCTATCTGCTTAAGGGGTGGGATTCCTTTGTGGAGTACATTCTCAGGAACTGGTTCACATGCACATTATACTTTAGGAAAATCACGAAAATCTTCATGCAGCTTCCTTTTTTTTTTAGAAATAATGTATACTTGCAGTGAACCTTCTTGGTGACTATCTCTCTAAGACGAACAGTGTTTTTGAGAACAATAAACATAGGTTTTAATCATTACGCAAGTTCACCACAACCACACAAGATTAAAAAGATATGGAATTTTGAGTTGTCGCTTTAAATTCGATTACTTACATTTAATTTTAGATTTAGACCGCCCATACGGTATATTGGTTTCGGAAGATGGGCTGCGATACCAAATGTCCCGGGTTCGAATCTCGGAGGAGGAATGGCTGCGATTGTTCGTCCCTTACTAGGAGGCAAAGGTGGCCCACCTATGTTTTGTTTCCATAATAAAGTAACCATCACTTCTGGCCTTAGTTAGTGGCCAAGCCGAAGTCGACTGAGGGCTCGCCATTGGTAAAAAAAAATTTTAGATTTAGACATTTCTTATTAAACACTTAAAAGTATTTTATTTAATTTTTCATATACATTTTACTCTAAAATTTTGTAATTGCTTATTGAACTTACAGTGACCAACTTCATAAGACAATTTTAATGTTTTTCTTCTGTGTTTCTTAATTTTTCAGAATATCTTAATTTATGCCCTTCAGAATTCTGTAGCGAAATTAAAATTAATATTGAGATACTATTTTGAGGCGATCCTTTGTCCTCAGAATTCTTTACCTTGCAACTTTGAAGCGACTAATTTTTCTTGTAAATTTTTAATTAAAGATAAAATTTATTGAAAATCAAATTTCCCTTAAATTGTTTTCAAGGAAAAAACTGCACATATTTTACACAGACTTTTATTTTCAGTGACTGAAACGTTTGAAGTACAATATTTTTGTACGTAAATGACAAATTGTTTGGAATAAGAAAATGTTGCTTTTTTATGTATTATTTTAAATGTTTTATTAATATATGATTTTGAATATCAACCATAAGTAAATTTTAAAATCCGAGTTCGCTTCGTGTATGATAATTTTTTAATTAAAGTAATCAGAAAGAATAATTTTAAAATAAAATGAAAGTATTTAGTATTCGCATTCAACTAAAAGCATCTAACACATTTTGGAAAAAGATCGTTATAAAGAAGGCAAGTTTCCCATAGTTTACATTTTAAATAAAAAAAAATATCTTTTTCATATTTATATTCCATAGAGTTAGCCATTTCTTATACTTTGATATGCGTTCTCTTTAGTATACATGCAAGGCTTAATTAGTATGTCGGTTGTGATTTATACTATATATTAATACTTGTATACACTGACTACCAATAAGTATTTGGACACCTGTGATAGAAAAGAAAAACTAACTTTATTCAAAATCAATAGTTGGTAGAGCCTCCACGAGAGGTAATTACAGGGTGGACCCTCCGGGGCATACTTTCCACAAGTCTTTGTATGACAGCTAGTGGTACTTTCTTCCACTCGGCTTGGAGAAGACATAGAAGTTGTTTCACCGATTTTGCACGGGTAGTGCACCCCTGAATTCGGCTATGCAACTCGTCCCAGAGGTTCTCGATAGGGTTCAGGTCTGGACTCTGGGCAGGCCAGTCCATTCGATGAACTCCATTGGCACCCTATCAATCCTTGGTTAACGTCGAAACATGACAACTGGCATTGTCGTCCTGAAAGTAACAGGGGTCCAACCCGTAAAACTGCCACAACGTAGGAAGCACATTGTCATTCAAAATATTGCAGTAGGCATCGGAATTGAGCTTACCATGAACGGGGACCAAGGGTCCCAGCCCATAACAGGAAAAACACCTCCAGACCATAATTCCACCTCCGCCGAACTTGACTGTTAGCACAATGCATTCTGGCAGGAGACGTTCTCCAGGTAGACGCCACACCCAGACCCTGCCATCCGAACGGTAAAGGGTGAACCTTGATTCGTCACTCCAAAGAACCCGTTTCCACTGATCTACGGTCCAATTTCGATGTGCTTTGCACCACATTAACCGAGCAGCGCGGTTGCACTTTGTGATCAAAGGCTTATGGGCAGCAGCACGACAATGAAAACCAAGCAGATGTGCTTCCTTACGGATGGTATTCATTGAAACAATACTCCCAGATGACTGTTGAAACTCCTCGCGGATGAGGGCCATCGGTTGGGTGCGGTTCTTCCAAATTTCTCTGGACAGCACTCGTCGGTCTCTGTCTCCCAGTTTCATTGGTCTGCCGACTAGGGGCACATTCCGACAATCATCGCTCACCTTCCACTTCTTAATCACATAGGTCACTGTCGATTTTGGGTACTTCAGATCGCTAGATATGTCCCTTAAGGATCGGCCACATTTGTGATACCCGATAATTATACCTTTCTCGAAATCAGAGAGCTCCGAACTGCGAGGAATCTTGCATGTGATTAAAGCCGATGCTGTTTCCTACACGATATATACCGGCGGAGTCCGTGACGTACCTTAGGACCGCAGATATCGTCATTTGCATAGGTGTACAAATACTTATTGGTAGTCAGTGTATACTCGAATCACATATTTTACATATTAATACTTGTATATACTCGAATCACATATTTTTTTTGGAGCACAGGTTTGCTCAGGCTCCCTTTTTTTTATTCATTTTATTTTTGCAACATGTTTAATTTTTATATAGTGGCGATGGTGGGGGAGTGTGAGAAGTTGTATATAGTCCTTATTTAATTTAAATATTGTCCTCATTCATTTCTGTAGTCTTTATTATGTTGCACATTGTCCTTATTTATTTTGGTAATAACCATGGTTTCTTACTGATCCTGTGACTCAATTATTTTAATGCATGTTATATATTAGTGCATATTTCCCACTGAAACATATATTATAAAACTCTATTAATATACGTATTCAACAAATTAAACACAATTAATTCAAATAGACTCATAAATCTATGAATTTCTATTAGCAAAAATTTATAATTTTACGTGTGATATAGAAAGAATATCAAAAACAAGGATGTACAATTTGTCAAAATATAAAATCTTTGTATGAAAGGAAAAAAAATACTTTTTTTGAATACTTTTAATAAATGGCATTTGGAGAAGATGATTTTACTGCTTGAAATCTGAGTAACTAAATACTGAAAATTTAAGAAAAACATCTTAAATTGTTTAACCCTTTCAGTTCCCATTTATTTGTTTGTTTAAACTGACTTGATTTTTTTATGAATTCTTGGAATCATCACAAATGAAATTAACAGAAATTGACAGTCTGGCACTAAGCTTCTATAAAAAGAGGCGCGCGACAACTTTGTAGTGGGAATGTTAGAAATGATGCGTACTACTAGTGGGACATCAACTACGTAAGAAACTCATGCGTGTAATTCCATCTAGGCTTCATTAAACATCTACTGGGACTTATATAACCCATTGGGACTGAAAGGGTTAAGGGAAAGAATTAAATGCTTTATTTCACCGCACTTAAATTTTTCAGAATATTAGTTTATGAGTTTTTTACAAAAGTTCATTTTTTAATAAATGATTTAGTTTCATATTTTGTATTCAGTTATTTTATTCATGAAATGAATTTTTTTCTTTC